GTGTGCTTGAGTTTTTAGTAAATGATCCCTCGGGCTCAAGCTGAGTCCCGTGCTCATACTGGCGGGGAACTTGTCCGTGTTGCAGACCAGGGCGCCGAGTGGAAGTGCAACGGGTACAACTGCAGCAACACGCTGCGCGCGGACCAGGTGCGCCGCGTGCTCGGCGTGGTGCAGGCGGAGCAGGAGGCCGTGGACCAGTTCGAGAGCGGGGACGCGCTGGCGCTGGGGCCGGTCGAGGCGCGCGAGAAGCTCCTCAAGCAGTACAAGACCGTGTTCCACCCGCGACACGCGCTCCTGCTGCAGCTCAAGCACTCCCTCGCGCAGCTCTACGGCCGCGTGGAGGGCTACGCGCTCGACGACCTGCCGGACATCCTGCTCGAGCGCAAGATTGAGCTCTGCAGGGAGATCTTGGCCGCGCTGGACGTGGTCGCCCCCGGCATGTCCAGGATCAGAGGCGAGTGTTCCAGAAAAACATTTGAAATATTTCTATGAAAAAGTAAACTTTTCGGGTAAAAATGTAGGACTTTAAAAAGAGTCTTGAAAATTTTCCTCACAATACTTCTTTTTTTTCCTGGCCCTGTCCCTCGACGAGGAGACTTTCCCACTCCCACTGACAGCACTGGTGTGTCCACAGGCCTGACCCTCTACGAGCTCCACGTGCCCATGATCCTGCACGCGCGCAGCCACTTCCAGACCGACCAGCTGACCGAGGTCCAGCTGCGGCAGGACCTCTCCGCCGCCGCAAAGGTGCTGGCCGAGGCCGCAGACATCCTCTGCCTCGAGGATCCCACCACCCCGGAGGGCTCCGTCGGGGTCATGGCCAAGGAGTCCCTGATCCAACTACAGGCTTCCATTGACTCCCTCCCACTTTAAGTAAATAATAACTTTCTTAAAAAGTGCTCCAATGTGTTATTTTTTTAATACCATTACGTTGGATTAGGATCTATTGAGGGAAGTGGAAGGAAGGGGAATAAATCAGGGAAAGTCTGAATTTTATATAAGATTCCACATTTAATGGTTATATTCAAAAAACATGAAAGTTGCACATCCAACAAACGAACAAGGAAAAGATCCCCTGGTAAAAGTACGTACATGGTATGAGAGTAACTGGTTATTCATACATATAATACTAACAGCAAGCCACACTACAAATTGGTGATAAGACTGAACTTACAATTTTAAAGGAGTATGTAGAAAAGTGATAAAAATATCAGCTGTAAATCACAAACATACATTTCAAATTTTCAATGACCCACTTTCCTACCTTCCCTGGATTATTTTTCCTCTAATCTCACACTCTTTTAGTGGTAAAGGGCCACATGGTCAAGAAAAAATGGAAGGAGAATTTAGCTTTAATTTTTTTTAAATGGACCATGGGAAAAACTTTTCCAATGACAAACTCTTGTTGCACAAAGATTCAATCCATACCAGGGGAACAATAATACTGTTAATTATGTTTGCCTAGGGTACTAAGTCAAAAAAATAACAAATTACAATTTCTATTTCCTCTCATGATTAGAGCAGTAACAGAACTCACAAAATTCATCTTCTCTGTACTTTTCCTTCCCTTTCAAGAAACAAAAGATAATACCAGATGTATCATGGAACAGACTAATTTTAAGCACCATGCATGACATAGACATGAATAGAGTAACATATAGTATACAATAAGTGCTAAACACATTGATGTATAGATATAAAAATCACTACTACACAGAACTTGTTTGCTACCTTGGGAATATCCCACTCCACCACCAGAGCCATTACTTCCACACTTTCTATGGACCAAATGTTTCATAAAACATTTTTCGTACTCTCTTATCTTTTCCTTTCCCTCTTTCTTCGATTAGGCTTGATTGTTAAGAAGTCTGCTGATCATTGTTTGAGTGTAATCAGACATTGCATCCAAGAATACGATAGATTTAGAGTCCTAGAACTACCACGTAGGAGGTAAACAAATGGTAGGGAGAGATAACACCTCATTTGTGGCTGCTCTAGGACTGTGAAGCCTGGGGCTCAGAAACTGCGAGAAAATAAATGAGACACAAAAGGAATAAGTCGGGAAAGAGGAAAAGGGAGATGCAAGGAGGAATTCAACAGAAATGATTAAACCTTAAGTGTTGATATCAAGAGAACCAGTCTACTTGGGATGTACAATGACAAACTTATCGCAACAAATATTTTTCAAAAAAATTTCTTATTTCAGACAAGAGCTAATGGTCTATTTTAATTTATGATTCCAGAAATATGAAAATAGATTTTCTGAAATGCTTTTAAGATCACTTGCAATAAGATATGCTGCCCTTTCTGGTCATAATATAAATATGCAAGGACAATCAGGTGAAGAAGCTTGGTACTTCATTCATCAAGTATGGTACCAGCAAGGATAATAAGGAGACTCTTTTTAAGTCTCACACCTATCTTAGAAACACTTGGGAATGAAGAAAAGGAACAAAAGTTCATTAAAGTCTTGCCATTTGTATAAAATAACACAATGTGAAAAATGTAGAAAAGGGTTCAAAAAACTAAGTAGGTCATTAAAGCTTTAATGTTTCTAAAAAGATGTAACAAAATCTGAGGGAAACAGCACACTTATACAATAAATAATAATAAAAACACAACTCAAATGTTCAACCATAAAGTCAAACTCTTCAGGAAACAAATAAAAAAGAATAAAAAAATATTAGCTGCACATAATTGTATTCTGTTTTAACAGAAGCCGAAACGATGCTTCTCAACATTGAGCATTGTTGCAATGTTCAATATTAAAGAACATTCAATCTTTACACAGCACAAGAGTGGCAGAATATAAATTCTAGTAACAAAGTTTACTTGACAATTTAAAAAAAATACTTATTCTGTGACGAAAGCATACGTGAGAAGTAAACACACAGGCAGACCTCCCAACAACAAGAATGTGGTTTCTTAATTAAGTCTATAAGAAAAAGAAACTGACTTAGTTGGCATGACTTTCTTTGCAAACCTTACTGAAACATATTTTTATCTCCTCAGTCCAATTGAGGTGTGAAAGTAAAGGCAAACAAAATCAAACATCCAAAAAAAATTTCAATACCAAAAGTTACATAATATAAATGGAATCATCACACTGGAATATAATATTTAAGAACAATTTCAAGAAGTCTTATTAAAAAGAGTTAAATATATAGTGCTAACGTTAAATAAGTTACCCAAGGCTACAAAATAATCACGTGTAGATTTTTGTATTAAATACAACTATCACATTACAATAAAATGTTTTTTTCTTTTTCCTTTGTGTTTCATTGAAAATCATAGTACAATACATGCTATTGTAAAAAAGATAATAATATATTAGGCCAGTCAGTCATCAAGAAAAGCCAACCAACTGCCCAGACACATTTTAACATTGCTAGCGCGGTTGAGAACCGGCCCCCGACCTGCATGCCATGGCATGTAACACAGAAAACCATAAAACACAAACTTCCCATTACACACATTAAAAAAAATAAAAAAACAGTGAACAAAAAACAACCATTTTCTATGAAAGAAGTATAAAATGAAAAAATCAACAAAAAAAACATGAAGATATTTGGTAAGGTTTAATATTTTATCAAATTTCATTTGTAGAACACACACAACTACGACATTTAAACATCAGTATAAATCTTAAAATCTCACAAAGATCTACATTAGTCAGGAAGGCATAAAAGACCTTGCTGGTATTTTTTTTTCAAAACAGGAATTGAAATGCAGAAGACCCACTGCAGATAGATAGACCTCTAAAGATGGCACCATTTGACTGAAAGGTAAATGTTACACATTATTTTGAAAACCTCGAGCTACCAGAGCTTATTTGGATGTAATGCATTACAAAGGCTATACACCCATGTAGGAACGACTCACAATACATGAACATACAAGGCAGATCACATGAGCCCCAATGTTGATGACTAGAATGCTACCCACCCGCCCAAGGCACAATAATGCATCTTGGGCAAAAAAACTTAATCCATTGACAGGTTGAAAATGTACCTTTGTTTAAAAAAAATAAAAATCAATACTTGGTAGCTCTGGCACATCGCTCAGATACTAGAACCAAATACTGGTGGTTGTGACTACAACTCTTTCTAATCAAATTTGGATTCTATACATTAACTTTGTATGCCTACCAATAACATTTATGAAAATGACATATTATATACACACACACTGAAATGGTTTCAAATTGAATTATAAGACAAGTAAAAAATGTATATGTATATATGCATTTATGTATATATAATACATAGAAGTCTGCTTGCTTCTCTGAGCAAACAAAAGAGCCAGAAGTTTCATAGATCATGAGAATCAAAGATTTCACATACAGTCATCTTTGGTATGAGGAATCACGTGTAATCATTCAACAGACATGAAAAATAAAGTTAGCTTGCTACTTAAGGTGAGCAGTGCAGATATATGAGGCTGGTCCATCTCAGCATTGGGATAAGCTGACCCAACACCACTCTGCCTCAAGAATGTTTGGCTTTGCCTTTTTCCACAACATGTGGTAGGCTCTTATACATTCCATCACCATTGGTCTATTACATCAGACACATCAAAAGAAGGGTACAAAAAAACCTTCCTGATTAAAGGAAATACAAAAATCTATATGAAAAACACGACAGGAGTAGATCCAAATATTCATAAGCCTACACATTTGTTGTGTATATGTAGATAGGATATTCGTGCAAAAGAGCAAAGTGAATTATATATGTAGCTAGGTATCACACATAACAAATAATAGTTAAATGAGCCATTGGGCTTCTAGACCTTGAGGTCATAAAGAACACAAGGTAAAATCTATATTTACCAATTGGAGGCTCCGCACATGACTTGGCAAGAACACAGTAGCCAAGAGGCAACAGAAGGTTCTTCTAAAACAAATGATTCCAGCGATAGAACACATTCTCATCAAACAGTCTAAGACATATTTTTTCTCCTCTAAAATAAAATGTTTAAAGTTTGACGAGATGATTCACCAACCAGGAGAAGTGTCACACGGATAAGGGACAGCTGTCACAATAGGACTAACACTACTATAAATTTGTTAAAAATCACAACAAATTAGGCTATGCCACCCTATTCTCATGCCTTCTCCAAAGCTAGATAGCCATATGATTGGACTGGAACCCAAACAGCTAAACACATATATTTCATTATAATAAAGGGAAACATCTAAGAGACAAAACATGTCAACCTTCCTCTACATGGTTTGGCCGGTAGAGAAAAAACAATCTATGAATAAACTATAAAATCAAAACAAATATCAAAAATCATAAAAATGGGTCTCTTTTCACACAATAATTGCAACACTAAACTTTTGGTAAGATTTTGTGAAAGGGGTAACTAAGGGGTGCGTGTGCTTGCATTACTTTAGAGTCTCTGCCAATTCTTTGTTAAACTTACATACTCTAGTCATCACCAAACAAAAAAGGAAATAACACAACAACAAAAAATTGAAGCAAGACATCATATGCCATCTGCTTTTCTGAGAAAGCTTCATTATATACAAAAATGAGACCCAAAAAATAAATATGGAAGATAAATTCTTATCATGAAACAAATCAATATTTTGAACTAATGGTACTTACTTCATCTCCATTTTTTTTTTTTTTTTTTGGTTTTGCTTGGATTTTTTTTTTTGCAAAACTATATGTACAACTAATGAAAATATAAAAAATTACAAAGATTAAGACGAGCTCCCACTCTTTGAGAGCTGAGTTCAAGACATTCTTTGGAAACATGATTGGTATAAAAAGCAATTTGCGTGGGACGTTGTGCTTTTCTCAGTTCATATGCACAATTTCTGTCTCAAAGTTAGATGCAAAAGCAAATCAGAGGCAAAGCGCCTCTAAGAAAGGCCAAGGTGATAGATAAACACAGAAAGAAAAATTGTACTGAACGTACTTGGGCAGCAAGAATACTTCATTCCTTTCATGTATATAAAAGTAGATTAAATTATCGAATTAATATTTACAGATACCCTGAGGAGTTCATTTTAAAAATTGAAAGTATTGGCAGAGATGCTAAGAATCAGCAGCAGGCAACATAAAAAAAAATGCACATTGTAAAAAAGAGAAAGCTGAAATTTGTTTTAAAAATGAATAGAAGCACACTGAGCAAGCACACGCTGACTAACGTTGTAATAAAAATGACTAAAGAGCCCCTTGTTGGGCCAAGCTAGCATTAGAGCCCTGTTGGACTCTAACTAGCATTGAACGCACGAGCTTGTAGAGGCTCTAGACTATCACACGCGCTCACACATACACAACAACTAGACTGTGTGGTGGTCTACCCCCTCTTAAGCTAGAGGTGAGCAGTTCCACCCACACAGTTTGGATGCTAAGAATTGAATTATTATTTTTGCCCTGCAACTTGTTGCGAGTCTTGTGGCGTGCCCCATGGTCACAGTCTACACCAGACCACAGCCCGCCACGAGTTCATTTAATTTAGCTAGACAAAGGTGGTAATACTGGTGGGCTGCGCGGCGCCGACCGACACTGAGCACACGACCCGAGCATGTGGATATACTCTTTTATTACATAGAAAAACAAAAAAAAAAGTTCATTTTTTTTCTCTCCACATGTCTCGGGTTCAACAAGTCTTTGGGGTATTCTCTAAAAATTGGATTATCCTACAATTGTCTAGAGGTTGAGGCGCCGGCCCGGTGCGAGCCGACCCTCGCGGCCCTTCATTAACACCAGCGGAAGGGGACGGCCCTGGGCCGGTCGGCGCCCTCCTTCACCAGGGGCTTGTGGAACTCCCTGCCCGGCCGCGAGTGGATGGTGGCCCAGCAGTGCTCGCAGTAATACTGCAACAGAGAGATAAGAGATAAGGAATCGGGCGTCCTGGGGATATCTGGAGAGCGTTCGTCAACACTCCCTCCTTAGGACCATCGTCATCGTCGTCGTCGTCGTCGCCATCTCACCTGTAGGCAGGTAACGTTGGCGCAGAAGAAGGGCGCGAACTTGCCGCCGCACCTCTGCCCCTGGCACTCGTCGCACATCTGGTCGTCGAGCACGTACGGCTTTACCTCCACCTGCAAACACACACGGGCGAGCGGCGTTAAGTCAGGAGGACCGCACGTCACACTGGAGCGTGGCCAGACAGTTCCCTGAATTTCCGGAGCCATTTTCGGAAAATTCTTCTAAAGTCTTCGAAATAAAAGGTAAATAAAACACTAAATTTTGGGGGACTGTACGACCCAAGATAGGCACCGCGGAAGTCGATCAGATCTGTCTCCTGCTGGAGTGGACACGCTCCTGCGGACGGACAGCGGCGGCGTGGGTGGACAGCGCGACCGCGTCACACTAGGTCACACCCGCTGGAGTGAGTGGACGTGGACAGGCATCGCCGCGTCGGCCGCGTCGGCCGCGCGGCGGATAGCCGCTCGGAACTGGATCAAGGGCGCTGTTCTGGTCCGCGAGCTCCCGCGAGTCGGGGGCTAGAGTCGGCGCGGAACAGGCCGCTGCCCTAGTTGTAGCTGGCGTCCGCAGGGCCGCCCGTCCACTACACAGCGAGCCGCTGTCCGGCCGGGCGGCACAACAGCGGAGCGGCGGCGGACAGACCGCGGCGGGCGGAGTTGGCTTGTTAGGTTTAATTAAGACGGGGCGACCGGACGGGTGGGTATGGAGCGTCACGCCAACCCTCTCGCCTAGCTCTCGCCCCGCACGCCCCGGCGGCAGCAGATCAGTAGCGGGTGGCCACGAGGGTTCCTACACTATGCAATGTTTATGTTTCTCCTTGCTTCATATGTTTTTAGCAGAAGATACCTTACGACCTGATACCTAAAAATATCTAAACATAACTATACATGAGTATTGTAAGGTGTCATTGCTTT